CGTCACAGTTCACGTTATTAACTGAGTTAACGACGCAGACGATTAAACATGTTTCCAAATAAAACTTGAAATGTTAAGAAAACATTTTTTAAATGATTTTATTCTTTAGATGAAACATTGTTCAGACGACGTGAAATGATTTTTTAAATGTTTTATTGCAGAATGAGCAGATTTACTGGAAAAGGCACAATGAAAACTAAACGTCTCATTAACATCTTCTACTCGTCAGTCATCAGTGATGAGCTACAGGTCAGAAAACTAATCAATCATCGTCACAGACGTGCTACAGACGTGCTACAGACGTGTCACAGACGTGCTACAGACGTGTCACAGACGTGCTACAGACGTGCTACAGACGTGTCACAGACGTGTCACACAGCGGATCCTGTGGCGTTTGAGGCTGCTCAGTAAAAACTAAAGACAAGTGAAAACATGACAGCTTATGAAGCTGAAGCCAAATCGTGTTGATCGCCCCCTGGTGCCTGGCTGCAGTATAGTACATAAACCTTCTCCATGTTAACAGACGGGACATGAACCAAACTAAAAACTCAGTCAAAGAAGTTTCTGTCTCTTCAGCTCGTTCTCATCTCACTGATGTTTGTTCAGTGTCCATGTTTCCGTTTGGTTTTAACGTCATCACCACAAGGTGGCAGCGTTGCTTTCTTCTCGTCGTCTTTTCTTGTCTTTTATTTATTGGAACAATCTGTGACGTGTTTTCAGCTTCTGATCGTTGAACTTTCCGGGAAAAATATTTGCAGATAAATTCTGGAAAAGTCTGAGGAAGTTCGCGACCTGCACGAACCAACCAGGCGAGGAACACTGGGGAGGAGGCGGGGTCATAAAGTTTTTCGTCTCTGAACAGACGATGAGCGAAGCAGCAGCTGAAACACTTGAATGGTTCGTCGTCTGAGTCCGACTCTAAATCACATGACGCTCAGAAATGAGAAATTATTACGAAGCTTCGTAAATAAATCTTCAGTGGATGGATTCTATCGTTACATTTAAATAAACTATGAAATGTTCAGTTTGTCTTTTCTGTGAAACATCTTTAAAAGAATCAAACGTTTCATCGACATGAAGTTAAATCTCCAGTTTCATAAATGATCAAGAGGAAACTGACATCGAGGTTTTTTACATCTGATCTCTTCATGAATGATTTATTTGATTTTTCATACGATCGACTTCTCTCGAGAATCGTGACGTTAATTTAACAAAACTAAGATTTTTTATTTACAATGTAGAAATTGAGATATTTTCCTGCGTCTGAGACAAAGTGGAGGTGACGAGCAGCCGCTCCGAGTCGTCACATGACCAAACACGTTGAGCTCATGACGTCATCAGGAGCCGGTTTTAGTTTTGAATCCTACGGAGACGAGCCCAGCACTTCCTGTCTGCGTCTCATTATCTGTACAAACTCAGCGTGGTCCATCGCCGCCTGAGGAGGGAGAGAGAAAACAGCAGGCCGCAGTTTGAAAAAAAGAGAGGAGGGAGGGAGGGAGGGAGGGAGGAGGCCATGAGGAGCTCAGTGGGAGCTTCCTTCGTCAAACGACTCCACCCCCGAGTCACAGGTGCTCACTGCAAGTTTCTCCTGACGCCTCCTCATGACCTCCTGGAGCTCCGAGCCTGAACTCCTCTGAGAGAGAGGGAGGAGGAGAGGAAGGAAGGAAACAGAGAGGAGGAGGAATGAGAGAGGGAGGAGGAGAGTGAAGGAGAGAGTGAAGGAGAGAGGGAGGATGAGAGTGAAGGAGAGAGGGAGGATGAGAGTGAAGGAGAGAGTGAAGATGGAGAGATGAGATAAAAGTGAAGAGAAAGCAGAGAAAGAGAAAACAGCTGATTAGAAAGTGTAAACAAACTAAATGAAGACGTGATGTCAGAGACTCTCGTGGAACTTTTTCTTCTTCACTGGTTTTTTTAGCTTTGAAACGTTTTGTTAAAATACATCAGTGCTTTTATTTTGGCAGGTTTTCACGTTAAGAATCAATATAATTCATCTAGTTAATGTTTCTGTCGTCCACGGCAACGTCACAACTACCACCTTAAAATGTGATCTGATTTAAATGTGGTCGTGGTCTGTGATTGGCTCACTGTTTCAGAGAGCAGTGATTTGATTGGCTCAGAATGAATCTGAAAATCATTTCTTATTAAATCTTCAGGAACAAACTCAAATCGTTCGGAGTGAAATCTTCAGATTTTTCCTCGAGAGTCTCCTCGACGTCTCGCTGCGTCTGAAGCTGCTGCGTTTCTCTGCTCAGCGTTTCTGAGGCTTCACTCCTGAAAGCTGAAGATTTTATCGGAGGAGAAAATCTTCTTCGTCAGAGTCTGGCTGCGTTTATATGACTTTTTATTTTTGAACCTATAAACGCAGCCAGGACCGAATCAGGAAGCTTCTGCTGATGCCGCTGCGAAGAGCCAGGAGGCATGCTGGGTAACATCCTCTGAAACCGGTCGCACAAAGTTTGGTCTGATTGGAGTTTAAAAAATGGCCAATGACTGTGATAATGATCAGTTCAAGTATAAAAACACTAAATTCAATCTTTGAATACAAATGAATGAGGTAACGTTTCTGAAAGGTTTTTATCTCCACATCAAAGGGAGAGATAAAAGGAGACACGTTCTAGAAACAAAGTCAAAATATACGAATGATTTCCGATCATTTGTGCGAGCAGCTGCAGAGAAGACGTGAAGTCAGGAGGAGTTCTGTCACATTTCAATTCTGATCCAGAGAAAATAAATTAAAGCTACAACTTCCTTTCAGAAGTGAAAGGTATGATGGGAAAAAATACAAAATAACAATAGAATCAATGTTAATTATTATTGTGACGCAAAACAAACTCATAGAAATATCTGAATGCTAATCAAAGCTAAGCTAACACACGTGGAACTCAGATCTACATCTTGGTCTCTACAGGGGGCGGGGTCAGAGAGTGCACAGGTGAAGGTCAGAGGTCAACAGGAAGTGCAGGTCAACATTATGGAGCTGGTTCATTCAGGGAGTTTAAGGAGGACTTACTGATCTAAACAGCCACAGCAGGATGACAAATACTGGCGCCACCTTAAATCTCTGCTAAACATGAAACGTCTCGTTCTGTCGGCCAGAGTCAGAAAGTATAACTTTGTTCTAACTTTGTTCTAACTTTATTAAATAACTTTATTATCTTTTTATGATCGAACAGGTTCTGTCTCTGTCCCGTGATTCTGGACGACAGAACGAGGAGGACATCTTTTCACGATACCTTGACGAATGTGGAAACAGAATCAGGTCAGAGGAGGATCAGAAGAAAACCTGCAGGTGGAAATAAACACCACACACCAGAGCGACCGGAGAGTTTAAAACAGAAAACACCTTCACCAGATCTACAGCAGATCTATAGATCTACAGCAGATCTACAGCAGATCTATAGATCTACAACAGATCTACAGCAAATCTATAGATCTTCAACAGATCTACAGCAGATCTATAGATCTACAACAGATCTACAGCAGATCTATAGATCTACAGCAGATCTACAGCAGATCTATAGATCTACAGCAGATCTACAGCAGATCTATAGATCTACAGCAGATCTACAGCAGATCTATAGATCTTCAACAGACCTTCAGACCTTCAATAAATCTTCAGACCTTCACCAGATCTACAGCAGATCTATAGATCTACAACAGATCCATAGACCTTCAACAGATCTACAGCAAATCTATAGACCTTCACCAGATCGACAGCAGATCTATAGATATACAACAGATCTACAGACGTTCAAACCTTCAACAGACCTACAGACGTTCAACAGATCTACAGACCTTCAACAGACCTTGAACAAACCTTCTACAGACCTACAGACGTTCAACAGATCTATTTCATGTGATTCTGTGTCAGATAATAAACTTTATCAATATGGATCCATCTCGTCTGTTCGAGGTTTCAGACTTTAAATGTAAAAGTTCCTGATCAAGAGAATAAAAGAATAACGAGGTCATCATTTGTTTGATGAAATTCTAGATGTAAAATTCTTTGTTTCTTTATGTTGTGATTGAAAACGTTGATCTGAACCGATCAGATAAAAATCACACGAAGAAGCGACCGTGAGAAAACACATTTCTGCTTCAACCATAAACTGATTCTTTTAAAGGGAAGAAGAATCTTTTCAAAGTAAAGTTAAGCACTGAAACTTTATGTAGACCTCTCACCTCCAGCGCGGCCTTCTGCACGGTCACCTGACTGAAGACTCGGGCGCCGTCATCGGGACAAACCGTCTTCAGCTCCTCTTTGTTGAGAGAAAACAGCTGAGCTCCGGTCAGGACGCCGAGGCTGGTGATGGTGCTGCGGACAGGAAGTAGAGGTGAGGAGGAGGAGCTAAGTCAACATGTGAGGAGGAGGAGCTAAGTCAACATGTCCACTTGAGGAATTAAACATCTGAGTTAAAACGTTTGGACCATCAGACGACGTTTCATTCAGAAAATTATTCTCAGCAGAAATCTGTAAAACTATAAAAATATGGACTGAAACTAAAGCGTTGACTTTATCGTTTTCATGTTCTCACAGGTGAACGAGCGTCACACTCACACTGGACTGAAGCCTTTAGCGTCCAGCCAGACTTTCACGTCGTCCGGTGACGAGTCGTACGTGATGCTGACGGACGGGAGGCCGCCGCCGCGAGACGGAACCTGGAACTTCTTCTGAGCGCTGCGACCCAGCGTCAGTCTGTGCATCAGCTCGTCTTGAACCTCCTCCATGTTGGACTTCCTGCCTGCGGGACAACGAGCAGCCGTCAGGTCACATGGTCTCTGAGGAGCCAGATTCTGCTGCTACAACAAAACTCACCAGAGGCTTGAAAATAAAAAAGTACTAAACTTTCACTGAATAAAGAGGAAACAGCAACAGTTTGGAGCAAAAGATAAAATGAACAGTTAAAGATTTTATTTATTTAACTTCATTCTTTTGATATTATTTTGAAAATCACAGCTG